AGGGAGAGGGGGGAGCTGACCTGGCTCCATAGAGCCCCTGCTGGCTGGGACCCTACACTCCTGCCACCTGCTTTGGGCCCTGCTGGTGTTGGCCCCAGAACACCAGAGTGGGCCCCACACTCCCGCCTGGGTGCCACTGGCTCCTGCGTGCCTTCTCACTCCCAGTGCCCCTGCCCTAGTCCTAGTCCTGTGGTACAGGCGGGGACCAGCACGCTGCCCTGGACCTGTATGCACCTGCAGGGAACGAGCTAGTGCTCAGCATGGGGGAAAACTGACACCCCCTCCACCCCCCCCGTGTCTGGCACCCTGTGCTGCAGCCACTTGCAGACTGCACAGGGCTGTCCTGCCTCTCCTCTGTGTCACCACCACCCCACTGGGCAGGGGTGGCAATGGAGAGCAGGCGCAGGCACTGAGCACCACTTCCCCACTGCTGCTGCTAGCCTGGGCCCTGCACCAGCTCCAGGCTTACTTGTTGGGGCTGAGCTGTGGCAGCAGCAGCTGGGCGTGGGGGAAAGCAGCCCCCCTATTCACCACTGCTGGGCAGTGTTTGCTACGGCTGCCTGCCTGGAGCTTGCGCCACACTGGGCTGGAGTGTGACTGCTTCACTGCTGCCTCTGTGCTGCCATGTGGCTGCTCCACATGGACACTGCTGCCGCGCTGGGCAGCACAGAGGTGGCAGTGAAGGAGCCGAACTGCAGCCTAGCGCGGCGCGAGCTCTGGGCGGGTGGCCACAGCAAACACTGCCCGGTGGTGAGTGGGGGGGGGGCTGCTTTCCTCTGCACCGAGCAGCAGTTTCTGGGGCATGAACTGGTGCTCAGTGTGGGGGGGGAAAAGCAGTCCTCCCCACCCCGTGGCTGGCTCCCCACGCTGCAGCCACTCAGAGCCCATGCGAGGCTGCCTGTGCCTGCTCTCCATTGCCACTGCTGCCCTGCAGGGTGGTGGTCATGTGGTGGAGAGGCAGGACAGCCCTGCGTGGGCTGCAAGCGGCTCCAGCACGGGGGGGGGGGGGGGGGGGGG